GCCATCATGAATAAAAATGTTATTTTGTCCACTACTGTTTTATTTTTTCTGGGAAATAGTAATGAAAATTAATTGGTAGTAATAGGAAAATATAATAATCTTTTGTTTTATCTGTACAACATTCATATTAATCGTTTTCTAAAATAAAGCATAATCACATGTGCAGATTAATCCATGACTTAACCATTGAAAACAATGATCCTATGCCCCCTCCCAACTTTGAATTCCCTGTGTTCAGAGCCGAGGAAGAAGATAATGAAGAGATTCCTGATGAAATTTCCCGTTTACTTGAGCACGATGAAAAGACTATTCAGCCGTTTGAAGAGCCTGTAGAGGTGATCAATTTGGGTAATGAAGAAGATAAAAAGGAAGTTAAGGTCGGAGCATTGCTTATCCCAGAGGTCAAAGAGAAAATGTTGGAACTTCTCACAGAATATGTTGATGTGTTTGCCTGGTCCTACCAAGACATGCCAGGTTTGGATAACAATATTGTGGAGCATCGTTTGCCGTTGAGACCTGAATGTCCGCCGATTAAGCGAAAGTTGAGAAGGACTCGTCCCGATATGGCTGACAAGATCAAAGAAGAAGTTGAAAAACAAATTAATGCAGGTTTCCTTGTTACATCCATCTATCCTCAATGGTTAGCCAATATAGTGCCTGTTGCTAAGAAGGATGGCAAAGTTCGGATGTGTGTAGACTATAGAGATCTGAATAGAGCTAGCCCAAAGGATGATTTTCCATTACCACACTGTGATACGGTGGGAGAGAACTGACTGTTTTTGGAATGCTGGTTCGCGTTTTGCGTTTGTTTTTGCAAAATGTCGCGGTAAGCAAGAGTCGCCACCGTCTTTTATTTTATCCAACTAGGAAAGGAAAAAAGCACAGAAAAAATTCCTTTTTCGAGATGTTTCTCGGGTCCGGGGGGTAGATTATAGAAAAGGAAGGTGTTAGCACCCTTTCTATCCGTGGTTATCCACGGGCTCTTAGGTACTTGCTCAAAGTGTTTTCAAAAATTGCTTTTCTTTGTGTTTGTGGGTTTGAAAAAGTTTTTTGTTTGAAAGGTGTAATTGTGAAAGTTTATTATTTTTTGAAAGAGCAAGTACTTAAGAACCATCTACCTACTCGAAAAAGGAATCGTTCTATGCTATCTTCCTTTAGACAATGCTATCCCACTATTGATGAGTAAGTAGCACCGTCGTTGGAGTTTAAGGGTCAATTCGAATTTAGGGACGTGCGGTCACTAAAGCAATGTTAGGACGCCTTAGCGGTAACCCTAATGTCTTAGATCATTTTTCCGAGGCAACCGTTTCGAGGCAACTATGATCTTTGGACAAGAGGGCGACCTCTAAAACTTCCTATACTCAATGACCGCGTTCGAAGGCAACCAAGCGAGGTGTACCCTAAGAGTGCGCATGTGCGAGTGTGTCATTTTCGGTTAATTTTATCTTTGTACATATCAATGGTTATCTATGTCGATTTTAGATTTAAACATTTGATCTTGTCATGCATTCCCTATTATCAAACATCTAACAGTTTATAAGTTGCAGAAATTAAATTGCGGAAATTAAAACTAACTATTACAAGGCGTCGGGTATTTACATCGCCAAAAAAACAACTCTTGAAATTAAAATGCGGAAAGTAAATAAAGCGATAAAATAATTAAAGTCCTATTAAACTATTACATTCTGGGAAACAGATACAATATTGAATAAAAATGGATCGCGTGCGGGAAAATTAAATCGATCGCATTCTATGGTTTTGACCCTTTTTTGAAAGAAAGCATTTTTTGGTTATTTTGAATTTAAAAGAAATTAAATTAGCATTAAATTAATAAATAAATAAATTAATTAATAAAAATGATTTTTGGATTTTTGATATTTAAAGAAATAAAAAAAATAATTTGATCAAAGTTAATAAAACCTGATTATCTAAATTGATTTTAATTGTTTGCAAAAGATATTAAAGTTATTTCCTAATTAAACTAAATCAATTAAATTAATATTTATTTACAAAAATAAAATGCTGAAAATTAATTTAATAAAGAAATATTTTTTGGTTTTTTTATTTTATTAAGAAAAAGTTGTGATTGGTTAATTAAAAATAATAACAATAAATAAATAAATAAAAGAAATAAAAAAGAAAGAGTTTAGGAGGTTATGGGCCTGATTTGGGGGTGAGATTGGCAATTTCCATGGCCCATTTGCATGCAAGCCTGGTGGACTTTCTAGATCCAGCGTGGCACCTTGACTTGGGAGTATGGTGGACATCCTATCTGGACCACCAGATCTGGCCTGGGGCCATCTGACGCTTTGAGCTTTGAGGGAGTATGATAGGTCCTCAGCCTTGGCTTGCACTGGATAACCTAAAGAAAAATATTAACAATGCAATATGGGGACCTGGGATTCGAACCCATGTCCTGTTGGATTTTGAACGCTTGCCACTACCACTGCAGCAACGCATTTTAGTTGTTATAGTATTCAATAATAATAATAATATGAGAAACAAGTTAATGGATCAGAAAATATAAAATAAAGCGCGCCATGTTCAAATAGGCGAATCAAAACATGCCACGCCATCGTCCCTATCGTTGGGACCGTGGCTAAAAACTTATCAACCTATACCAACGGAGAACCGTCCGTAGCTACAGGCCATGCCATCTCCAAAATCTTGCATAAGCCATATAAATGAAAGGTGATACCATGAATGAACTCGTCTTGTTCCCCTGAACAAGATGGTACCTTTCTCACAAGCGAATTGTTCCTGTAATGGAAAGCCCTAAAAAAAACCTAAAGAACCCTTCAATGGCGTTTCACGATACAAAGCATGAAAATAAAATTGGTTATTACAGAAAGTTCACAAATGATATAAGGAATTAGAATATGAAATCATTTTTGAGAATGGATGCAAGGATAAAGATTTGGGAATCCAAGAATATGGCGGATCTGTGGGATGCTTACAGTGCGTTTGGAGGCTGGAGAATGCGTGATCTTAATTGGTTCTGCTTCTGGGAATTGCCAGGAAGCGATTGGGATCTTTGTTGGGTCCTGAAAGTGCCTCTAAGAACGATTTCGATTCCACACTTTTTTGCAATTTTTTTCAAGTTTGCTTTTGATGGTTCTACAGCTTCTAACCCCTGATCTCGTGTCCTTTGCCTTGTATATGTATAAAGCAATGTATTAGGTCAACAATTTTGGACTGAATCCTTGTGCATTATGGCTATAGGATTTGATTTGATCCTCCATTGATAACTTTCCAAATTTTCCCGAAATCCATCTTTTTGTTCATGATATGGTGAGATACGAATTTGATGCTGACCATGATGATAATTAAGACCTATAATAATAAAAAAGATCCTAAGTAATCAATATTGGGATTTTATTTGATTTAAGTTGATTAAAAATGAAATAATTCAATAAAAAATCAAATAAAATAATAAAAAAGAAATATGATCTCAAGGATGAAGCTAGGATACGTGTGTAGTGTGACAAGATCAAATCAAGTGGAAAAGAATGTGCCCCTTTGACAAAACTTGAAGTTTTGGGGATAGTTGACTTTTGGCAATTTTGCAAAAATGCCCAACTTCAACAATGCATAACTTCTTCAATTTTGAACTTTTGGAAGTGTTCTTAGACTTTTTAGAAATCTTGAGATGTCCTATAACCAAACCTTTTGGTCTCATCTCATTTTGATATTCCATGATCAAGTTATAAGCTTTGGCAAAAAAGGTGTTTTTGTTGACTTTCAAAAATGATCTATAATGTCCAAATTTGTAAATTTTTTGAGTGCATTTCTTGATCTTGGGGTATGAAGATGGATTGTAGGAAATTGCATCCTCTTCAAAATGAGATTTGGATGGGTCATTTCTCATAAAGTATGAGAAAGTTATGCTTGGTCAAAGTTGAGTTGACTTTTCCGGCAAAACCCTAATTTAGCAACTTTTGAGTCTTGATGAATTTTGAGCAATCCTTGATGAATCATGATCAACCTTTGATCAAATGATTAAATATCCTTCAAAATGAGAATGTTGACAAAAAAATCTTGAAGTTTGACTATTTGTAGGTCACAGTTGACTTTTGCCCTAGCACAGTTGATTTTTGGACCCTTTGAGCAATTGACTGAGCAAACTTCCTCTGCAAGGCTTGAAATTTGACATGGATGATCTTGAGAACATATTAGGACATTGGGGAGAATTTGAGGTCATTTGGATGCAAGGACCTTGATGCAACACAAAACCCTAATTTGAGGTTGACTGCCTTAGGAGATAACTTGACTGTCCAACTCTTGAGCAATCTTGAGCCACTTGGTGATTTTTCTTGCAATGTTTTGAGAAATATGGGAGGGAAATATTTAGGGTACAACATCTACCCCTGTTCAATTTTCTTAAACCTGAGGATATAGATTGGCTTTCGGGCCTTTCGTGATCCGAAGGTGGAAGATGATTGAACACTAGAGTGCCCAGAAATTTGCACTCGCATGAAGTGATATCAACATTGTAATGTCGGGAATGGGCTTACAGATGCCATTTGGAGATTGTGGATAGGTAGTCTGAACTTCGACTGGAATACGAATCAGGGAGATCTTATCGTCGATCTAACTGAACCAGAGGAGGTCTTGGATTAACTTTGGCTGGATCGGCATCAGAAAAATATTCGAATCGATTTAACTAGACCAGACAAGAGTCTTGGAATAACTTCAACTGGAATACAAATCAGGGAGATCTTCGCGGCGATCTAACTGAACCAGAGGAGGTGTTGGATTAACTTTGAATGGATCGTCATCAGAAAAATCTTCGAAACGATTTCACTGGACCAGACAAGAGTCTTGGAATAACTTCAACTGGAATACGAATCAGGGAGATCTTAGGGTCGATCTGACTGAACCAGAGAAGGTCTTGGATTAACTTTGACTGGATCGACATCAGAAAAATCTTTAGGAATCGATTTAACTGGACCAGACAAGGTCTTGGAATAACTTCAACTGGAATACGAATCAGGGAGATCTTATCTGCGATCTGACTGAACCAGAGCAGGTCTCAGATTAACTTTGACTGGATCGGCATCAGAAAAATCTTTAGGAATCGATTTAACTGGAACAAACAAGAGTCTTGGAATAACTTCAACTGGAATACGAATCGGGGAGATCTTATCGGCGATCTAACTGAACCAGAGGAGGTCTTGGATTAACTTTGACTGGATCAGCATCAGAAAAATCTTTAGGAATCGATTTAACTAGACCAGACAAGGTCTTGGAATAACTTCAATTGGAATACGAATCAAGGAGATCTTCGCGGCGATATAACTGAACCAGAGGATGTCTTGGATTAACTTTGACTGGATCGGCATCAGAAAAATCTTTAGGAATTGATTTAACTGGACCATATAAGGTCTTGGAATAACTTCAACTGGAATACGAATCAGGGAGATCTTATCAGCGATCTGACTGAACCAGAGGAGGTCTTGGATTAACTTTGACTGGATCGGCATCAGAAAAATCTTTAGGAATCGATTTAACTGGACCAGACAAGAGTCTTGGAATAACTTCAACTGGAATACGAATCATGGAGATCTTATCAGCGATCTGACTGAACCAGAGGAGGTCTTGGATATGGCTGAGAACTTAACTGGATCTTTCCTGAAAGGTAAAGGTCAGTCATATGCAATGCATGATATGGATCAAGCAATGATGTTCTCAACATAAATGAGATTGTGTTATATAATACGTACATGCATGTATCATGATGTATGGAAATGTAATGTTTCTAGCTGGGGAAAATAAATCCCGGATAGCTGCTGGAGAATAGAGTTGAATTCTTTGTTTCCGCTGGGGATGATGAACAAAGGTGATTTGCGAGAATAAACCTGCAGGAGAGGATGACTCCGTTAGGGAATAAACTGATGAGGAGATTACTCTATGGGGAAGAGACGCCCTGTTGAGGCTTCCACTGATAAACTCTACTGGGGATGGATTATCGTTGCTGGTGATATTGAATCTGTTGAGGATTGAATTCCTGTTTGTGAAAGGAAAGAACTTCGCTGGGGATGATCTTTCAGTTGCGACTTACTGGGGATAACCCTGTTAGACTTTTGTAAGTATAATCCTCTGAATTCTGCTGGGAACGATCCTTGGAACTCGGCTGGGGAGATTTATTTTGTGCTTCGCTGGGGATAAACTTTCAGAGTCTACTAGGAATGATGCTTCAACTCCGTTGGGGAAGCTTTTTTAGTATGTGCTGGAAAATTTTTAACTCCACTGGGGGTATCTTGTATTCTTCCGGGGAACATTCTTATACTCTGCCAGGGAATATTAAGATTGCCGGGGATATCAAGCTTTTTCAGTGCTGATGGTAGATCCACTCTGCTTGGGGAGAGCATTACTGATTCGTTCATAGTTGCAAGTCTCAGCTGGGGGAGAGCTACCATTACTGTCTTACTCTGCGGGGAGTGAAGGTATCTTAGCCATATTCTTCAGCTGAATATACCTTTGTACCTGGTGAACCGAGCAACTGTACAGTTCGGACAATTCTCATTGTCCCTGTTTCTGATATTACCCGTAATCATCCTTTGTTTCGCATGTAAATATTTATGAGCAACAATTAATGTCAAATGCATATATCAAAATGAACATTGGACGTTCTTTGCAAAACAAAACAGATAAAGGAAAAACAGTTTGAAATTTGTCTGAAAATGAACTTGTATTGATTTTGAAGTTTGGCCTGTAAATAGGCGTTTTTGTACAAGAGGCTGACGTCCTAGTAAGAGAACGCCGCCGAATAATAGAATTTACACAATTTGTGAAAAACCAAACAAAATAGCTATGTGAATGATCCCACTGGGTTCCGACTCTGCTATTGTCTTTATGTCCTCGAGCATCTCATCACTTTGCTACTGGGTTGAAGGTAGATCAAATTGATTAGTGCTGTCCGAGCTTGATAGTCGATACCGAAGTCTGGATGCAAGGTGATCCAATGAGACATAGTGTTATGCTTTGATCCCTAACTTTTTCCTGGACCGCCACCGGGACACCCATTTTTGCCCAAGTCGCCTTTTCAGGTTTTCGACTTGCCGGGTGTACAAATTTTTTCATTTTCATCCCTTATTTTTGCCCGAACCCTTTTGGTTCGCCGGGAAGCCCTTATTTTTGCCTAGGTCAGTCAACCTAGCGGGTCTTTGATTAGGCGTAATATCTTTTTACTATGTCTGCATTGACGGGGTGAGGAAGGTCGTCACCATCCATGGTGGTTAGAATCATGGCTCCTCCTGAGAAAATGTTCTTAACCACAAATGGCCCTTCGTAGGTAGGGGTCCATTTGCCTCTGGGATCACCTTGTGGTAAGATAATGCGCTTGATTACCAGATCCTCAACTTGATACTCTTGTCGTCTGACTTTCTTGTTAAATGCCTTGATCATTCGCTTTTGGTACGTCTGACCATGACAAATATCAGTAAGTCTCTTTTCGTCGATTAGGTTCAGCTGATCAAGCCGGGTCTGAATCCAGTCATCTTCGCTCAAACCCGCATCTTTCATGATTCGGAGAGAGGGTATCTGAACTTCAATGGGCAAGACTGCCTCCATGCCATATACCAAGGAGTAGGGTGTTGCCCCTATTGACGTCCGTGCTGAGGTACGGTATCCATGAAGAGAAAACGGTAGCATCTTGTGCCAGTCTTTGTATGTCACTGTCATCTTCTATACAATCTTCTTAATGTTCTTATTAGCCGTTTCGACAACCCCATTCATCTTCGGCCGGTAGGGAGAAGAGTTATGATGCTGTATCTTGAATTGTTCGCAGAGCTCGGTGATCATCTTGTTGTTGAGATTGGTACCATTATCCGTAATGATCCTCTCTGGTACACCGTATCGACAGATCAGATTATGCCGAATGAACCGTGCCACGACGTTCTTGGTTACAGTAGCAAAGGAAGCTGCTTCAACCCATTTCGTAAAGTAATCAATTGCTTCCAGGATGAAACGATGCCCGTTAGATGCCGTAGGTCTGATCTCGCCGATCATATCAATGCCCCACATTGAGAAAGGCCAAGGTGCTGTCAAGATATTCAGAGGAACTGGAGATATGTGCACCTTATCAGCATAGACTTGGCACTTGTGACATGTCCGAGAATGCTGATAACAGTCAGCTTCCATAGTGGACCAATAATATCCTGCCCGAAGGATTTTCTTTGCCATGGTGTGTCCACTGGAATGAGTTCCGAAAGTACCTTCGTGTAACTCCGCCATGATCCTTTCTGCTTCATTCTTATCCATACAACGCAGTAAGGTCGAATCATGGTTGCACTTGTAAAGGATGCCATTGCTGATGAAGAACTTCGCCGCGAACCTTCTCAGAAACTTCTTGTCATTAACAGAGGCACCCTTGGGGTACTCCTGAGCCTCAAGGTATCTCTTCACCTCATGAAACCAGGGTTTATCTGCTACCTCTTCAGTCTCAATATCACAGCAATGTGCAGGTTCGTCCAATCTTTCAATGATAATCCGGGGAGCTTCGTTGTCCCAATTGACTTTGAACATAGAAGACATCGTAGCCAGCGCGTCCGCTAACTGATTCTCCTCTCTAGGTAAATGTTCAAAGGTTATCTCCTCGAAATGGGGAAGCAATGTCAATACATACTCCTTGTAAGGAATAAGATTTGGGTGTTTTGTATCCCACTCGCCTTTGATCTGACTGATCACGAGAGCGGAATCTCCGAAGACACTCAGAAACTTAATCCTTAGGTCTATTGCTGCTCGAAGACCCATAATGCATGCTTCATACTCTGCCATGTTATTAGTGCAGTTGAAACATAGTCGGGCGATAAACAGAGTATGAGAGCCTTTGGGAGATATGATCACGGCGCCAATGCCATTACCCAAAGCGTTTGAAGCTCCATCAAAGTACATAGACCATCGGGATCCTTCCTCAGGTCCTTCATCCGGTCCATGTGTCTCACAATCAGTCACTATCATGATATTCTCGTCCGGGAATTCGAAGTACATAGACTGGTAATCATCCACTGCCTGATGTGCCAAATGGTCTGCCAACACACTTCCCTTAATTGCCTTCTGGGTCGTGTACTGGATTTCATATTCAGTCAAGATCATATGCCATCTTGCTATTCTTCCGAATAAGGCAGGCTTTTCGAAGATATACTTGATTGGATCCATCTTTGATATCAACAGAGTAGTGTGAGTCAACATATATTGTCTCAGCCGGCAAGCAGCCCATGCCAAAGCGCATCAAGTTTTCTCGAGTAGTGAGTATCGGGTCTCACAGTCGATAAACTTTTTGCTAAGGTAATAAATAGCATGCTCTTTTCGGTCAGACTCGTCATGCTGACCCAACACGCACCCCATTGAGTTGTCGAGTACTGTCAAGTATAAGATCAGAGGTATCCCTTCAACTGGTGGCATCAGAATGGGTGGCTCTTGGAGATACTCTTTGATCCTTTCGAAAGCGGCCTGACATTCATCGTTCCAACGCACCACTTGATCTTTCTTCAGTAGCTTGAAGATTGGCTCACAAGTAGCAGTCAGGTGCGAGATGAATCGGGCAATGTAGTTCAGACGTCCCAGAAAGCCTCTGACTCCTTTCTCTATTCTAGGAGCTGGCATCTCCTGTATAGCTTTCACCTTGGCATGATCCACTTGAATACCTTTGTCGCTTACAACAAAACCCAGTAGCTTACCAGACCTCACCCCGAAGGTGCACTTGTTCGGGTTCAACCTCAGCTTGTACAACTTCAACCTGTCAAATAACTTCTGCAGATGGTCAAGGTGTTCTTCCTCAGTCTGGGACCTTGCAATCATATCGTCGATGTATACTTCAATCTCATGATGGATCATATCATGAAACAAAGCAACCATGGCACGCTGATACGTTGCCCCAGCGTTCTTCAATCCAAAAGGCATGACCTTGTAGCAAAAGGTACCCCACTGAGTAACAAAGGTTGTCTTCTCCATGTCTTCGGGAGCCATTTTAATCTGATTGTAACCGGAGAAACCGTCCATAAAGGAGAAGACTTTGTGCTGAGCGGTGTTGTCAACCAAAACGTCGATATCAGGTAGAGGAAAATCATCCTTGGGACTCGCCCTATTCTGATCCCTATAGTCAACACACATTCGAACTTTACCATCCTTCTTCGGCACAGGAACCACATTGGCCACCCATTGAGGGTAAGAAGTAACTGCTAGAAAACCGGCGTCAAACTGTTTTATCACTTCAGCCTTAATTTTCTCAGACATCTCTGGGCGCATTCGGCGGACCTTCTGTTTTACTGGAAGACAGTCTTCCTTGGTGGGCTGGCGATGAACCACAATATCGGTATCCAAACCAGGCATATCTTTGTAAGACCAGGCAAAGATCTCAACATAGTCACGCAGCATCTGAATCAACCGTTGCTTCACACTAAGCTCCATGTTTGCACCGACCTTAACTTCTTTCTTGTCTTCCTCTGTACCCAGATTTACTGATTCCACCAGCTCTTCATGC